CCTGTTCCTGGCATTATTCACAGCTCGAGCAATACGGTTAGCAACCAAAGCCAAATCCTCCTCCTCGATTTGTTCGAGTTGATCATCGGATAGGGCATTAAAAGTGGCAAGAAAAGAAGGCATAGATGAAGAAGCATCAACAACCGAAGAAGAAGTAGAAGAAACCAAAGCACTAGACTTAGAATCAGCTTTTCGAGAAAGAACATTCATCTCATGTGTTTTCAATTTGGTGTAAAGTGAATCCAAAGTCAAAGTAGACATATTAACAGACTCCTAAATAGATATAACTTTCATCTCCCAAATAGACATGTCAAGACCATTCAAAAAGTGGCGAGAGATCTCAGATTGAGGATAATTAGTATCATAAGAAGAATCAACATATTTAAGATCACTCAAAATTTTATTAAACCTAGAGAGATAGTCATCCAAAGCTTCTCCAGGTTTCATCTCAAATTTAATGTACTCCTTTTTGAAAAGATCTCGACGAAGCTCTTTAATGTTATTTGTTCCTTGATGAAAATTACTTAAAGCAACCCAAATCTCATGAGCAGTTTGAAGATGCGCAACACGATCATAATCAGAACGAGAAATACCACTCAAAAGAATGTTGCGAGCTTTGCAATTTTGTTCAAAAGCAGTTTTTTCAGCAGCAGTATTAATAGCTTCAGGAATCACATAAGCATGGGAAACTTTTCTCCAAATATCATAATCTTCAGCCATAATGTAAGATTGCATCCTACTACACCAATGAGAAAAATCCGTTCCATCGAAAACATGAGGCTTAGTTGAAAAACGAGCGGGAGTAGCCATGGCAAAAACTCTAGATCGATAAAAATCCAAAGAAGAAAACAAGACTCTGATACCACTTGTAGGATCGAATGACAAGAACTAAGCCAACCAGAGGGGGGTGAATGGTTGGTATACCCAAAAACCAAAAACTTTTAGCGGAAATAAAAGTTACCCTCGAATTCGACGGATTGCGGTCTGACCGAAATTGCCCTGCCGGTCTGACCGCCTGGTTGCCGTCGGTCTGACCGAGATTAGATCTTCGGTCTGACCACCGAGATCATCTGCCGCTTGCTGTTGCCGCCGCCGGTTTGAGCGCCTTGCTCCCGCCGGTCGGACCGCCACGATGCCACCGGTCTAACCGCCGGTTAGTTGCCAGTTAAACCGCCGAAACCCGGTGAAGCACAAATCGAAGAACTCTTAAAGTGGATGACGACTTTATTACTTCTCTTTGTATTTACAAAGTGCACCAACAGCACTCCTTACAAAAATTTCGACTAAACTCGAAACCCTAACTCAAAACTCAACTCAATTGCTCTCAAAAACGATATCGGGAAGCCTCACGCTCCCCCTCTATTTATACCCAAGGTAGGCAGCCTAAAGCCACGAACCAAACTCATACTAGGAGTCCTAAACACCTTAGGAAACCCTCTAGTACAAGAAAGAAACTTTAGATAACCAATCGTACCAAATTTGGACTGCTTCCAAATTCGACTCCGCATCCCATACGCACACAATAACTCCATCGTATGCCATATGGAATCTCCATCAACCACGTACATCAACTCTAGCCTTAGTATCCCGCATGATCTCTGACCACCACGGACGTCGTCTTATCCCCAAGCCGACTCCCGGTCCATCACCGCAAATACTCTCCAGAGACATCGAATCACCTACACATGGAACAAACAAAGAAACCATATTCCGAGACCAAGCTATCTCCAACTTGACTCATTAGCAGCAAACAATAGTATTACATACGTATAGTATCCATCTAGAAGTCATAATTATGAAATAATCATGGATATCCAAATAAACAACCCGAAACTGAAACCGACACAGCGTCGGCCGGTCAGACAGTGGGCTGCGCCGGTCTGACCGCGCAATACACGCCGGTCCGACCGGCAACCCGTGCCCGGTCTGACCGGACCCAAATCCAGCACTACCTGTATATTCACCTATGAAATCCAATCATCTCCAAAACCACTTCGTGAATAAATTCCAAATAATAAAACCAATAATATCCAATGCCCAATTGTTCATCACAGAATAATAATCAAAAACATCTTTGATTTTACAAGTCTACTAAAGTGTAGGTACCCACGAAAAGTACCTCGTCAGTAGCTTCTACGGGGCAAACAATCGGATCATACGACACCAATGCAAGGGTATGTGACATGTCATGAAGGATTGTACAAGTCAGCATGCATACATCGCTACGGATGATGGTGGATATGCAAGTTCTAGTGATGTTGAGCAAGAATATTCTCTTGCTGCTAACCTTCTATGTGAAACCAATGTTCCTGAGATGGAAATTGATGATGGGGAGATTTTAGGAGTCATCGATACCGCAAACTACAAGACCATACTTGTGCTGCAAGTGCTAAGCGTTCAAGTGGAGCATGTGGAGGAACTTCAACACCATAATTCTTCATCATCAAGGATTGTCGGGTATTTCCCTCTCGGGTCATGACACTCTTATATTGGAAAGGTTTGACTCGGCATTGAAGCTGACTGGTGAGTTGAATATATGGATTGAAATGGACAACTCCAAGTGGCATATTATCTTATCTTTCTCTTTTTTTTTTTGCTACACCTCTATTGATTACTTTGGTCATCAACCCTCCTTTTAACACTACAACCCTACTTTTGAACAGTTCATTGTCGACTTGCAACATGGACTTCTAAACTTAGATGAATCCATGAATAAAACATAATACTACTAATTAGCCTTTTACATCTTGGCTTTTGACACTACAAGGAAAGACAAAACAGATCTAATATTATGAATGATAGCTAGAAATACTAGTAATTTGCCCGTGCTAACGCTATGACAATATTTGTTAATGCAAACCAAACAATTACAAAATAATATGTTTTTCACAATCACAATATATTTTCCGAATCCCCCCCCTCCCCCGAACCCGAAAACCGGACATGACTCACCCTGAACATTCAATACCAGACAAAAATTACCCCCCTCGACCCAATCCAAAGATTTTTTATCCTACGTGGCATACGCGTGGCAACCCAGTCAGCATTTTATTTTTTAAAAGATGGTGGGGCCCACCTGTCATATACTCCCTCTCTCTCCTTCCCCTCTCTCACTCTCTCTCTCTCTCCCTCACTCGGCAAGCACGGCAGGCGGCGGCTGCGGCGTGGGATGCGGAGGCAGTGGCGGCGGCTGCAGCGTGGGATGGGAGGCGGCGGCGGCGGCGTGGGATGCGGCGGTGTAGTGGACGAGCGGCTCTTGGGTGGGGAGGCGGCGTCTGTGGTGGCCGCGGTGGCAGCGAGGAGGAGGAGGACACCAGCGAGCGAGGCAGTGAGGACTGGAGGGTGGTTGTTGTGGTGGGCACGGTAATGGCGGCGAGGAGGAGCGAGGAGAGGAGAGCGGAGCCACCGCGGTAGGCTTCGACCACCGTGCGCGGGACCGGAGGCGACCGGCGGTGCGGCACCGGGAGGTGGCGGCAGGCGGGACCGGGGACAACCCGGTCCCCTCCCGGCGCGTCGGGATCCTGCGTCGAGAGGCGGCTACATCGAGACGGCCAGCGCACTACATCGAGACGGCCGCCTTCGAAAGCTCGCCGGGCCACCTGAGAGGCGGCTGCATCGCCTCGTTTACCACGCTACCTGCGTCACCTTTGTCGGTGGTGGTCGTGGCGGAACTGCAAAATGGGAGAGGCGGTGGGGATATGGCTGGCATCTGCCACCGCATCCCATGCTGCCGCCGCCGCCGCCTCGGTGTCCCGCGCTGCTGCCGCCTCCCATCCCACGCCGCCGGCGCCGCCTCCACATCCCATGCTGCCACCACCGCCGCCTTAGTGTCCCACGCCACCTCCGCATCCCACGCCGCAGGCTGCAGCCGCCGCCTGCCGTGCTCGCCGAAAGAGGGAGAGGGAGAGAGTGAGAGAGGGGGAGTATATGACAGATGGGCCCCAACATCTTTTAAAAAAGAAAATGCCGACTGGGTTGCCACGCGTACGCCACATAGGATAAAACCGCTATGGATTGGGTCGAGGGGGGTAATTCGTCCGGTGTTGAAAGTTTAGGGTGAGTCATGTCTGGTTTTCTGGTTCAGAGGGGAAATTCGGCCGACCGCGATAATTCGGGGGGTAATTCATATTTTTTCCTAACTAGAATAATAGATAAATTTGTTAAAAATTGCTAGAAATTGTTTCAGATATTGCTAGATAAATTTGCCAGTATTGCTCTAATTTCAGAGCAGTAGAAATTGTTACACGCAGTAACTTTGAATGATTCACGAGGGAGAATATTTTTCTGTCACAAAGTTAAACACATGTACAGAAAGATGCTAGGTTGATTTGTATTTATTCAAAAAGGGAAGAATCAGTAATAAAAATCCTCATTATCAACGAAACGAACTCATATAAAACTCCTAATCTAGTACAGTTCACTATCAACTCCATGGTGCATTCAATAGACTGAACTATCTTTTATTTTTTGAATGTGACAGAACCAAATCGGGATAACACAATTCTACTGTGATCCGAGACAAGCTCAATGTGACAGAACCTAGTCTTGCCGTGGTTTGTCAAGGGCAACATCCAAAGCTAAGAATTCAGCACACGAATTTCTTAAACCAAGAACACATACCACATTTGGGTCATGGAATTCTTACATTGAAAAGGTTTGACTCGGCATTGAAGCTGACTGGTGAGTTGAATATATGGATTGAAATGGACAACTCCAAGTGGCATATTATCTTATCTTTCTTTTTTTTTTTTTTTGCTGTACCTCCGTTGATTACTATGGTCATCAAGCTTGCTGGTTTTACATACTCAGGACATGGATAACTTTTCTCCTTCCCGTAACAGCATCTGGATGAGGTCCACCCATGGGTGTTGTTGACACAATGATACTGCTATCATTCATAATATTAGATCTATTTGTCTTTCCTTGTAGTGTCAAAAGCCAAGATGTAAAAGGCTAAGTTTTAGAAGTCCATATTTCAGCTCGAGAGCGAACTACTCAAAAGAAGGCATCGGGCTGAGAGGCCAAATCTGTTCATCCAATATATTAAGATGTCAATGCGCTGTTTTTGATCTGCGCATGGGATTATGTCTATTACCGTTAAGCAATGAATATATATTAGTCCAATCGTTCCCTCTCAGTTCGTGACGCTCTTACATTAAAAAGTTCTGACTTTGCAACGAAGCTGACTGGTGAGTTAAACATATGGATTGAAATGAACAATTCCTACTGGCATCTTTTCTTTGTCCTATTGGCAAAACAACGGCCTCTTTTAATTTCCTACCATGTTCTGAACGAACATCCTGGTTCCTCTATATAAGTAATTTCTCAGAAGGTTAGCGGAGCGCTCTTGTGCTTGGAAGCAGCGTATAGCCCCAAAAGCGAGTTCATCAGCCCTTCATTCTACCTAGGAAAAGAAGTAACTGAAATTGGGGGTTGTACTCTTCCAAATTTCTGTTAGTTCTTTTTGTTTGAATTCGGGAGACAAATTTGGTACTCTATCTGTACTCTTCTTTCTTTCCTAATCTCTATTCATGTTGATCAAACGATTTTTGTGAACAAACAGGTGATCGCTTTGCTCGTAACAGATGTTAAGAAGACAAAGATCAAGAAGAGGAGCTAGCTAGGTAGTCTGATCATTGGGTAGAAAGATTTGAGAAACAAATCAAGGACCCAGGTGTGTGATCCAATTATCTCCTATATATAGGTTAAGGGCAAACTGAAGATTGGACAATGTCATTTTAAAATGATTCATGGGTTATATATTTTTCTTAATATATATAAAAAACCATTCATCGACTTTTGAATAAAAGAAAGACTAATTTGATAACTGTTTTGAATTGCTTTTGTATCAACAAAGTAATAAACTACTCCTAGCTAATTATCATGCATACCATCTGCACATATACCTTGCAATATGGTTACAAGTGAAAATCGCTAAGAGCAAGGGACTCAAAGTTCCTGTGATTGAATCTTCTAACGAACTCATGATGGGGGTGACAACTAAATTAAGGGTAGATTAAAAGTTGGATTCTATTTCCTACGGGGAAGGAGGATAGGTGGTACCGTTCATGTAGTGTATGGTTTGTTTTCAGATTAATCGAATCTAATGGTTTATAATATTGGACCCGCCAATTTAAGTGAAAGACAATTAGCATATAACTAAGAAGGTAGCCCGCGCATCCGCGCGGGCATCCATATTATTTTATTTCGAAAATACTTCTAACGGGCATCCATATTATTTTATTTCGAAAATACTTCTAACAAAGTAAGTTGAAAGTAAAATAGGGTATTTTTCATTTTTAATTGAATGTTCATTGTTAAGTTTTTTTTCCTTAAGAAGACTCGAGAAACTTTTATTGCTTGTAAATTTAATTTTTTTACCATCCTGCTAGCCCTCTTTTTAATTGATCAAATATACATATATTATATAGCGCTTCTTTTTAAGGAAAAGACCTAGCCAACATGAATCGTAAAATAATAATATATTAGGAAAAAATAACTTTTAATAATATTATTATAAGAAAGGCTACTTATTTTATATTGCCACCTTAGAGGCTTATACATGCAGGTTGTAGAGAAACCCATGGAAGTTACTTTAAAGGATAGAATTTACTGAATTGAATTATAATTATCTGTCTCTTGGTGTGTTTAATATGACTTGTATGAAGATAAATATAAAAATTTTGAAAGAATAAAAATATCATTATGATGTAAAATGAGCTATGTTTTTCTATAACGAAGGGAGTATATTGATTCAATACTATCTTACGGGTTAAGTGCTCCACTAAAATAGTTTTATGTGTAAAAGCTTCAATGCTACATTGCGGTCTTAAGAGTATAACTGTCTTAGAATTATGTTTTTTTTTCTTGCTCCCAATATATATATACACGGTCTTCAAAAGTGTGTGTGTTAGTTGGTTTACACGGTGTGTTTGTGCATAATCTTCAATGCGAAGCCTGCAATACCTATACAATTTTATCTTCTTTTTTTAAAAGAATTAGGCATTAAAACAATCATAGTAGTTTATTATGTCCATCGCTATAAGATGGCCTACAAGCATTTGTAGAGGTATACTGGAAATAAAAGTTTTACTCATGATGACGTGGATAAATCTCAAACTTTTTTTTATATCATGTGATAGTTTTAAGAAGAAATTGATGGTCGAATGTTTTATTTTTTTATTTTCTCTAATTTTAGTGTGTCATGTGGTTATTTAGAAATATTTTTATGATGTTTAACGTACTATAAAGAGAGTATAGAGTAAGAGCTTGCTAGATCTAGTCGGTCGATGTCTATCTATAAAATTTTTTAGGCCCATAAAGAAAATTATAAGTTTAATTATCAAATAAGAAAAAAAAGAAAGGAACGGAGGAATGGTAGGTTTGGTACAGAGTGAGAACGCCGCACAGAGGCATGGAAAGAGGGAGAATAATGGTTTATTAATCTCAATGAAAATCGACGGTTGAATTTCTCTGTTTTTTTAGAACTCCACGTGATGAATCATAAGTGTTTATAGGGTGCCACGTGGTGGATTAGAAGCGTATACAGGAAGTTTAATGAAATATAACTATGATCATCAAAGTATTTAAAAACAATATGTATGTACATACATAAATATTGCTAGTAGAAAACAATTGGTCACCATATATAAGTGGAAATTGATGTTTTTTGTTTTTTCTTCATAATTTCTATTATTTTCTCTAATTTATTGGAGTGTTACTTGACGGCTTCGGATCTTATTTAGTTGTCGGTTATTAAAACACAACTTTCTGTAATTAAATATAGGTAATATGGATGTTATATTTTTTATAGATAAGATACATCATATGCTTTATAAAATTTTAAATAGTGAACAACCAGAGAAAATAAAGAAGTGAGGATTGATCGCTTCTTTTTTCCAACCGTAGGTGCAAACTTGCATACCTGTATGTTCTTTGTTTATTTTTTCTGACAAATAGTTTTTTTTTACTCCCTTCGTCCCAAAATATAACAACTTTTAGTCATCAGAATTTGTCCAAAAATATAACAACTTCTCCACCAACATTCTCTTTCCATCCAATCACAACCCTCCACCATTAACTTTTCCCACCTACATGCACTACTTATCCAATCACAACCATACACCACTCATTTCTACCTACTTTCTTAATAACTGTGTCCAACCCTGAAACTTCTAATATTGAGTATTTGTTTTCCTTTAGCAAATAGTCCATAGGTATTTTTTTATCCATCCGTACGTTTGTAGGTACGTGCGGGGATGCTTGGATGTGGGAAGGTGGGATAGGAGAGAGAGGTGGAAAAAGCAATTCTAATAGTAATAATTAAAAATAATAGGTCCAGTTGTTTATTAAAGTGGCACGTGGCGTTTTAGAAGCATTTGTAGGACTTCCACGTGATGCGTTAGGAGCGTTTGTAGAAAGTTTCATAGATTTTTAATACTACCTTCAAATTTTAATATTTGACGCCGTTGACTTTTTGTATGTTTGACCATTCGTCATATTCAAAAAATTTATGTAATTATCATTTATTTTATTATGACTTGATTTGTCATCAAATGTTCTTTAAGCATGACATAAATATTTTCATATTTGCACAAAAATTTTGAATAAAACGAATAGTCAAATGTTGGTCGAAAAATCAACGACGTCATACATTAAAATACGGAGGAAGTATATAATAGATAGATAGATAGATAGATAGCCTAGTTGAATTTCCTGGGCAATCATGTGCCTATTTGAGATAGAATTTCCTGAGCAATCATGTGTCTTATATATTTGCCATGATGCATCTCTTCGTACAAGGAGCTATTAACGGTTTGGCTTAATTTGTTTGCGTTTATAATCATGCACAGTGCTCAACCTGGCTATGGACGACATCGTTGGAATATTGAAGGGAGCAGCTGGTCTTGCTGCCGATGCCAATGCCTTCCGTGAGTTCTTCAACTGGGCCGCACCACGTGTCTTGGCTGCCGTACGTTCTCAGCAGCAGCAGCATCTGCTGCAAGTGGATCCAGGAGGGGTAGGATCAGCATCAGCTAGAGACAACAGAACAGCTCCACTGCACCAGATTGAGGATGATCTTCAGAATCTCGAGAACGACCTATGGCTGATCCAATCAACTACATCCACAATGTATGACCTCATCGATCGTCTTGAATGGCATAGCCACAAGGATACAGAAGACTGGCATCTTCGCCAGATCAAGGATGTAGCGTACGATGCCGAGGACCTCCTTGATGAGTACAATTACTATGCTCTCAAGGTGAAGGTGGACACGAGCAAGAACTTGGGGCAAGATCACTCGCATGAACCCTTTTTGGAGTTCCTGAACAGTGTCAACTTCAGTAAAGTAATGAAAATCAAAAATAGACTAAAGCAGGTTTTTGACCAATCCAAGGGTTTAGGCTTTCACAAAACACCAAAGAAGTTTGATCGATTAGTCAGACCAGAGACATGCCGTGTCCTAGACGAGCCAGATGAGATATTTGGTCGTGAAAAAGAACTGAAGGAGTTGAAGCAAAAGCTAGGAGTACGTGGACGCAAGAGAGGCAGACCTGTGGCATGCAGCACTACAGCTGAAGCAAGGAGGACAGAGTTGCCTGTGCTGCCAATAGTTGGTATGGGCGGCATCGGGAAGACCACCATGGCACAACAAATCTGTGAGGATAGAGTGGTGCGGAATCACTTCGACTGCATACTCTGGATATGTGTCTCGGATGAATTCGAGGTAAACAGGTTAACAAGAGATGTTCTGAAGTCTCTTGGAGTAAAGTCACAAGATTCTGATACAAGGGATACTCTTATGGTTAATTTACGTGATAGTGTCAAGTCAAAGAAGTTTTTACTCGTCCTTGATGACATGTGGGATGATGTCTTAAAAGATGAGAGAGGATGGAGAACATTTCATAGAACTTTAAGCAATGGTCTTCAGGGCAGTATGATTTTGGTCACCACTAGATCTTCCAAAGTTGCTAACCTAGTCAGCAACAGTGATCCCTATGAGCTCAACGGACTGCAAAATGATGTTTTCTGGGATTTCTTCAAACTATGCGCATTCGGATCCAACAGCTCTCGCAATAGCCCAGAGCTGGAGCACATTCGTCCAGAGTTGGAGCGCATTGGTAGAGCTATACTTCCCAAGTTGAAGGGTTCACCTTTGGCTGCCAAAACTCTTGGACGCTTGTTGAAAAGTAACTTAAGTGTAGAGCACTGGGAGGACATATTGAGAAGTGAATTGTGGAAATTGGAACAAGAGGAGACTGACATTTTGCCAGCCCTTCGACTGAGTTACGTTTACCTACCACGACACATGAAAAGATGCTTCTCAATATGTGCCCTGTATCCAAAGGATCATAAATTTGACAAGGAGTTTTTAGCAGACATTTGGGTAGCACAAGGGTATGTGGAGGCTGAAGATGCATCATCTTGCTTTAATGACCTTGTAAATCGGTCATTCTTTCAGAAAGCAGCTGGCTATAGTGATATGTACGTAATTCATGACTTGATACATGATACTGCACAGCTAGTCTCCAAGGATGAGTGCTTCATCATACAACATGTGAGTGACCTAGCTAAAATCCCATCAAAGGTTCGCCATCTGTCAATATTCACCAAGGGAAATATCAGCTGTACAGAAATAGTGACTATTTGCACACAAAATAAAAAACTGCGGTCCCTAATATGCAATGAATCTTACCGAAGTATTAAACAATTCGCTCCCGTGATTGATTGTTGGTTCAAGGAACTCCCGAGTATCCGTGTATTGATTTTTAAATTTTCAACGGTGAGAAAGTTACCTGAGAGCATAGGCAACTCAAAACATTTGCGTTACCTTGGTTTATTGGGAAGTTCTACTTTCGAGACCCTTCCTTCATCTGTTAGTTGCCTGTATCATGTCCAGACTATAAATGCCAAGGGTTGTGTTTTCAAAAGATACCCTCAAGGTTTCAGTGATCTGATTTCCTTAAACAAAATTGAATCAAAGGGCTTCCAATTTAACAAGGTTAAAGATAAGCAATTCCTAGAATGGTCCACAACGGAAATAGCTGATGAACAATTACAGATGACAGAGGAGCAGATTGAATTGTTACCTCATTGGAATCTTGAGCATTTGATAATAAAGAATTACCTAGGTCAATCTTGCCCCAGCTGGCTCCAGCCAGACTGCCTGAAAGTGCTGACTTCACTTGAACTTTATGGGTGCAGGAACATTCAGAGCCTATCATTCTTTGACCCACTCTTTTCTGATTTAGAAGAGTCAAACAGCATTTATCACCTTGAGGTGTTGGATGTCCACCAGTGTCCTAACATTGATTGGCAAGGTTTGGTGGCTTTACCCTCTTCTCTTAGAAGGGTTACCCTTGGCAACTTTGGCCATTCGACAGATCACTTTGTGAGTTGCTTTCGTGGCCTCTCCCTCCTGACACATCTGGAAATACATTGCTGGTTCTTAACATCTATTCCCCTGCAAGTTTGGATGAGTAATCTTCCATCCTTGGAGAATTTGCGTATTGATAATTGTGGCTCCCTCACATCCATCTGTGTCTCTGAGGCAAGCAACATACACACTGTTGGAGTATTTTCATCCCTTTCAACAGTCACCATTTCGTTTTGCAATGCACTGTTGAGTCTTGATGAGTTCTTTATGCCCGCTTATATGCCTTTCGTGAAGACCATTGATGTGTTATTTTGCAAGGAATTAGCATTACTGCCAGTTCATGAGCTCCACCTTTTTTCTCGCTTGGAGAAGCTATGTATTAGAAACTGTCCCAAGTTGAATATGCAGAGGAGAATGACATTACCATCCTCTCTTCGGATGCTCAGCTTATTACTTTGTCCAAGCATAGAGTACATCGACAACAGCCATCTGGCGAGTGCAATGAAACTCAAGGGACTTAGCCTTCAACTTATGAGGTGTCCAGACCTCATCTCTATTGTTGGTGCTATATCTGTCTCTGAAATAGTGCAGGGTCGTATAGAAGATTGCCCCAAGCTGATGGAGATAACACAACCTTTTAAGGTCATGACTGGTACGTCCTACGGAATAACTCTTTTTTTTTTTTGTTAAAACTTAAAACTGGTAATTCCCCGCTTAGAGTAATCTCATTAAATTTTTTGATTTTTTTTGTGTTCTTATTAAGTTCACAGAAAATTGTCATGATAGAATTGCTCTGCTTCCATGTCATAAATTATGTTATACTTATTTGTAATATTTAGTTTCGTGTGAATTTCATGATTGGTAATACAATTAACCGTATTTTCATCAACTATGGCAAACGGACTGATTTCCATTGGCTGTCAAGTACACAATAAGCCGATACTAGCTTTTCCAAGACTCAACTTTTATAATACTATGCCATAGAATACTTATTTGTTTAGATTTAGTTATGTTGTAGGAAAAGAAAGATGAAACGAAGTACGAAATGTATTGTTTATATTCATTGGATTTGATAGTTCATTGGCATCGACGTGCAGGCCATAAATAATGATGAGCGTTCAAGATGATTTCAGATGCAAACAGCACAGAACATGCCAACGTAAGTTATGTTGGGGATCAGGGAGAATCATCTCTCAGAATATATATCTGGTAATATACTGTGTTATTGTGTATTGGATCGAGAGAGCCAAAAGAAAGTGCAGCCTGATCAGACCATGGGTAGGCTAGGAGATGAGAATCTCAAGAACTGAATTTGTGGGTGTTACCCCGAAATGTGTATTTTTTTTGGATGATACCCCATAGTTGATGTGGAGATTTACATGGAAGACTATTATATACATACTAAAAAAACATGTGTGTTGCATCAGGAAAAATAATATTATGATAAAACTTAGATTATTCAGGTTCAATTAATCTTCCACAACTCCCACGTTCTCCTTTTCAGCTAGTTGGACCATATATACATATGACCCTGAGATAGTTCTAGGTCGGACATAGGAGCTTATTCGATCCCTAAAAGCTCTTGTGATAAAGGGTGTCCTGCAGGCGGCCAAATTAGACACCCTTCAGCTGGCCGAGTGAAATTAAGTAGAGAGGACCGGAGTATAGGGCTTTGTTTTCTTGAAATGATGTCCTGTTGAAATACTACCACATGATAACAACATTTAGAAATATAGTATTTTTTTTAAAAAAAACTCGGGTTTTAGGAATGTGTAATGTTCCATCTTTTGAGGCAAAATGTTTCATATTCAAGACCAATCCATCATATTCATACTAATAGGTGATGTTCTAGTATAGGTTGCTATATTTTGGAATAAAAAACATATTAAACTTAACATCTATGTTTCTCCCTCCCACTAATTCATGTTCTACATATCCAACATATGTCCTAGCATCTGCCTTGCTTAATAGGACTTTCTCCTAGCACATAGTATCTTAAGAGCAAGTTTTATATGGGTGGTTACAATATCTAATCTTGTCCATGTCATTTCCATACCAGCCCCAACACCCATATTAACTTTATTTTATTGTTTTCTTCAAGGGATAAAAAGGGTTCAGAAACGGAAAGAAACTGGTTCTACCATTTCCGTTTTCATTTTTCTCAGAAATCAAAATCAAAACAGGAAACCCCAGATACAAAAACAGAGTCAAATATTATCGAATACAAAAACGAAACGATATGGATCAGAACGAATATTTATCGGAATACGAAAACAACTAGAAATGTGCTTCTCAGATCGACAAAGAGGAATATTCATCGACTCATTATTTTTTCTAAAACAATAAATCGGCATTAATAGCAACAGACATCAAAAGAGAGGAAATCACATTAACGCCACACCATTATCAATATTGGTACGACACTGTATGATGATTACAAAGAACACATAATAGCAGCAAACCACTGCAAAGCACTGATTCTCTCACAGAATGCCAACTCCTGACCAAAGCATTCGCTGGCTGTGTTTAGTTAACACCAAAATAGAAAGTTTGGTTGAAATTGGAACAATGTGACGGAAAAGTTGAAAGTTTGTGTGTGTAGAAAAGTTTTGATGTAATGGAAAAGTTTGAAGTTTGAAGAATTATTTTGGAACGAAACACGGCGAGCTCTTAAGAAGCAACTGGATAAAACAAAATACTCCCTCCGTTTTTTAATAGATGACGCCGTTGACTTTTTATCACATGTTTGACCATTGCGTCGTTATTCAAAAAATTGTTATGCTAAATGTATAAGATATTAAATCACACCTAAAGTACTTATGAATGATAAAACAATCTCGTAACAAAATAAATTATAATTACGTAAATTTTTTGAATAAGACGAATGGTCAAACATGTGAGAAAAAGTCAACGGCGTCATCTATTTAAAAAATGGAGGTAGTACAAAACAAAGACATGACACCTTTGACCAAAGAAGCATATGGACACTCCACAGGAGAACCATCGTACTAGCGCTGCGTACTTTCCTAGGAGTCAATAATCCCGGACATCATCTTTTTTATCTGGTGAAGATAACAAAGCAGTGGCAATTTTAGTACATCCAAAACCCATGGAGTTTGCAAATGAAGCAGCTGGAGTAACAGTGTAATCCAGTGAATGTTTGTGAAAACAAAAACTATCTTCCAGTGATTAAGGGTCAGTTTGGTTCGTGACCAATGTTGGCCTTACCAAAATTTGGCATGTCAAATTTTGGCAAGTTTTGGCATCCCACATTTTGGTAAGGCCAACATATGTTTGGATTGAAGCCAAATTAAACTAATTTGGCTATTGAAATGGCCTATGTTATATAGGCATGCCAAAATTTGGCCTCAATCCAAACATACACAATTATTGTTGAGGTTGCCAAAAAATTGGCAAGCCTAATTTAGGCCTCAAACCAAACTGGCCCTAAAGAACATAGATAAATGTACACATTGCAATCAGATTCTCCAGTACCTCTTTTGAATTCATTCCGATGATGTCTCTCAGATCACTTAGAGCAAGTCTAATAGTACAGCCCACTACCAGCTCCAATTCATTTATAGCCAATCTAATAGCCAATTCATACAATAGTTACTTACTATAATATTAGTATATGGTCCCACCTGTCATACACACAGTGTGTCTTGAAGTCCGTACTGCAGCTGGCTACAAATCTGTAGCCCGCTGCTCTTCTCTCTCATCGTTTATATCATTAAAATATGTTTATAGCCGGTTAATAGCCTGCTATTGTACCTGCTCTTATCTGCAAAAGCAAAGGAATCAGCTCTGGGTTGCATTGTCATGTAATAACTTCTGGTCGCTTGGGTCTAATTAATGCCTACTCCCTTGTTGATCTAGAGTGCTCACCTCTTTAAATAGCTCTGCCGCTCTGGTGACTCCTCACGAAGCTCAAGTATGTAGTTTGCCCTTTTTTCTCCGATTCCCTAAACATGTATCAGTGGGTTAATAGTAAGAAAGAAGCAATCTGGGCTGCCACGATATGGTTCGGAGCAAACCTTTAAGCTTTTTAATTGTGTAAAATTAAAGGTGTTTTTTATTGTTATTCTATGATGAACGATTGGCATTGGAGATTATTAGTTTTGATATTTGGAATTTATTCACGAAGTGGTTTTGGAGATGATTGGATTTCACAGGTGATCTACAGGTACTGCTGGATGTGGTCCGGTCAGACCGGCATGTATCACGCGGTCAGACCGGCGCAGCCCGCGGTTTGACCGGCCGACTCTGTGTCGGTTTCGGTTTCGGGTTGTTTGTTTAGATATCCGTGATTGTTTCATGATTATGGCTTCTAGATGGATACTATGCGTATGTAATACTGTTGTTTGCTACTAATGAGTCAAGTTGGGGATAGTTTGGTCTCGGAATATGGTTTCTTTTGTTTGTTCTATGTGTAGGTGACTCAAGATGCCGGGAGAGTATTTGCGGTGATGGATCGGGAGTCGGCTCGGGGATAAGACGACATCCGTAGTGGTCAGAGATCATGCGGGATACTAAGGCTAGAATTCAATGCACGTGGAAGGTGAACATTCCATATGGCATATGATGGAGGTATTGTGTGCATATGGGATGCGGAGTCGAATTTGGAAGGAGTCCAAATTTGGTATGATTGGTTATGTAAAGTTTGTTTCTTGTACTAGAGGGTTTCCTAGGGTGATTAGGACTTCTAGTATGGGTTTGGTTCGTGGCTTTAAGCTGCCTACCTCGGGTATAAATAGAGAGGGAGCGTGAGGCTTCCTGGTATCGCTTTTGAGAGCAATTGAGTTGAGCGTTGAGTTAGGGTTTCGAGTTTAGTCGAGATTTTTGCAAGGAGTGCTGTTAGTGTACTTTGTAAACACAGAGAGAATCAATAAAGTCGTTATCCACTTTAAGAGTTCTTCGATTTGTGTTTCACCGGGTTTTGGCGGTCAGCCCGGCGGCATCGCAGCGGTCAGACCGGCGGGCACACGGTGGTCAGACCGGCGGCGGCGACAGGGAGCGGCAGACGATCTCGGCGGTTCGACCGGAGTTCGATCTCGGTCAGACCAACGTTCATCAGGCGGTTAGACCGGCGTATACACTTCAGTCAAACAGCGATCCGTCGAATTTGAGGGTAACTTTTATTTCCGCTAAAAGTTTCGGGTTTTAGGTATACCAACCATTCAACCCCCCCTCCCTGGTTGGCTTAGTTGCTGTGATTCGACCCTACAAATTGTTCCCTGCAAAAGACACAGAAACAAACATGCATTAGAAATGCAGTAGTGTGAAGTCGGTTGTAAAGATAATGCCAAACTCACTTATTAGCACTGTTGAGAAAAGTCAAGCATTCTTGAACTAGAGATTTCTGTGGGGCAGAAAAAACAAGAGAGAATTCATCAGGCAAAACGATTATAAGAAGGTACAAACACATTAAGCGAATAAAATGAGTCAGTGAGTTAAAAAACAGGTTAACCTTAATCCCAGTGCTGCGGGCTGTAAGTATATCCTTGGGATCTTCCGCTTGCTCAAATTTCAAATGCACTTCAGGAGTTTTTGGCTCCGGTGCAATCGTATTGATTCGCTAGACGCATTCTATGCCCCACGTTTGTGCCCTCACGCTCACTGGCCGAGTGCTAAGAAGCTTCAATGAGTTTGAAATCTCTCTCAGTTGGTCACTCAACTTTGGGGAGGATTGGGTACTGCTGGCAGGAGTCTTCTCAGCAAGGTTATCTGGGAGTGCCAGTCAGGTAATGATGTGATCATACTTTCCATTCACGTAATGAACTTGGCAACAAATAATAAGAGTGATGCTATACCAGTGATAGAAGAGCAGGTCAATCCCATGTCACTGATGTCAGTACATGAATGTTCCGGTTCCATATTTGACAAGGCATAGTCCTGAACAAAGTGACAGGGGCACTACGTATTTAATACAGAACTGCAACCAGATAATGGTGTATTCCTTGCAAAGAGATACCTCTTCTTGGATAGTAGTACTTGGTAGCAATTCTTGCGTGCTGCAATGTACCACCTGTTGCATTTCAGATGATTTGACATCTACGGTGTTTCCTGTTTCAGAACTTCCCTGCATTTTGCTCCAAAATTATATCAATAGGCATTCACTTTGGAACACGGCTGAAAGGAAACCATAGTAATGTACCTCATTTGCTAATGCAGATCGAATTTTCATGCCTACTGATGGCTGTACTTCCTGCACAATGATGCAAGGAGGTCCAAGATAAAATAACTCAAGTACTCAACTGATAACCACCAAAAATGCATAGTAGCACTATACTTCCTACTGTGATTCTTCTCGCCACTGGTTGCATCTCTTGCTACGTGTATGCGTGTGGTAAGATGCTTGAGTGCAAGTGTCTTTCTCTCATCACCTAGTAGTTGATAGGGATAATATCCTTGTGCTATTTTCTATATTCTACTAACCATGTCATGCACCAACGATAAATTTAAGGACTGCGT